TGCTTCGCTCCGCACACAGCAAAGATCGTTCTGGAAGGTTGGCGAAGAGTTTACCTTGAAGGGAGATAGCTCTAGCGTAAAGTCCTATCCCCTAATGTCTCATATTCCGAAACATTATTTTTCTTCAGGAATCAACAATACATTTCGGTGATATTCATTGATATTTATAATGACAGCGACACTTAACGACGAGACAACTCGTATACGGCTGTTGTGTGCGTTTGAGATGCAACGACGATTAAGAGCGGTAATACGCTACCACGAAGATGAAGAAGACGACGACGATGAAAATGTGGGCGAAAATTGACGGATCAGATCAGGCAAATCGGATCGGCTGTGAGACTGCACGCCAGGCTTCTAGTTAAAAGAATCCGGTTTCCTGGAATAACAACCTTTTTGAACAATCTATTAAGAAGAATTTTTGAATTTCTCTCTCAAAATGATGATAATCTTTTGCCGAATGTAAACTTTTCGAAAAGCTGCTATCATGGGCATAAAGTACATTACATTACAATACATTCATGGGCAAATACATAACATTTTCACCTAATAGGTGCATAATATGTTCATTATATGTTCTGATTGGGCAACTCCGCAGCCCCAGAAGTGCTGCGCGCTCCTGCAATTTCGTACGGGGTAATGACACTAGGGTTTGTGACGGCTTGATGATAACTATGCCTCTATCGGCAAGTCTTCCACGCCATGCGCCATACGGCCAACGACACTCCATAAGCGCTATATAAACTCTCTCACATGTAGCCGTTATTTCCTACACCTGGAATTCGCCATCGTGCCAACACATTCTCTTGGGAACCTGGACATCCATATTCGAGTCATCGTGCTGGCAGCAGGAGTCGACACGCCCTGTCGCTGAGGAAAGCCCAAAAGCCGGCTCTGAGCGGCGGAACATATATGACAAACTAGGAAAATGCAAGGAAACTGTTTTCTATTTAAAATGCCGATAAAGCCTTGAAGTTGACCTAGAGCGGAGTGCGCCATTTCCTCGGGGAGCCCCCTAGAAAGCCAGTGCATTTGGTCATTACAATGACATAAAGAGGGCGGCCTATGGTGAATTCAGCGATGGTTTTGTTTTTGGAAACAGCAACAAACAAACAGTTTCAAAACAGTCAACTGCTAGTGATTCATAAAAATATGAAAGACTTGTGAGATAAAGCGGTAGCAAAGTTGCTGGGCCAAACTGGTGCAAGAATCCTCGAATAGGAGGACTTTGGCCACATTTTCACAATAGTATTTCGGTGAGGAAGCTCCCATAATTTGCCTGGCAAATCAAGTCCACTTATGAGCTGTATTTTCACGGTGTTTGAAACCCTACTTAAAGGCAGTGCCCGCGTTCAGTTGAGATTTCCCTCTCCCTTCGTGAGCAGGTAGCCAGGTTCGCAGAGGCGATTACACCACTTTTGCGGCGCAAAAACGAGTGAGGAGGCCCACGATACCGTCGTTCCTCTCATTGGCCCAACCCCCTATCATTGGCACCGCCCACCGATCATATGGTTGCCTGATGGTGCGGTTGTTCTGCTACTAACTCTCTCCACTTCGAATGGTGAGAGTGAGGTGATAAGGGAAAACAGCTGATACCAACAAGTAAGAACTGGTGCGGCCACAGCCTCTTTTCGCCTTATACAACATGGCTTCGTCATAGGATTCTATATGGGACATTTCCGCGGGTTTCCCTGCTTTTTTCTTCATCACTGGATCATTTGCTACTTTGTTATTACTATCTGAGCGCATAACTCCGCGAGCTCAGCCTTTAACTTCGAGGGAGTCAACAACAGAAACGTTTATGGCAGTTCTCAAGTACAAACTGGCTTCCACAACGGCCGATGCGCCAGGAAGATGAATCAAGAGTGAGGCGAAAAGCCTTATGATAGACAAGCCAAGGTCTCAAAGCGCTTTGATAAATACTTGATTATTTTGTTGATATTTCTGTGATTGGAGGGTCATTGAAATGTTGCTGTCCAAACATAATGAGAAATTTTACGGAAATATGAGAAAACAAACGAGTTGAAAAATAAGTATTGTAAATGGCAATCTTTGGAAGCAATGGGAACACGTTTTTTCTAATTGCTTGAGATTTTTACCTCACTCACTCATTAACTTTAATTAGCCCCACTACTGAGATCTGGAATATTCTTATTACCTGTAATTTTTGCACGAAAAAGCGGAAATCAGCGGCTTCATTAGAGGTGAGTTCATCGGTGGATCCGTTCAAAATGCCTTCCAGTACAGCAATCATATGCTCCGTTTCTTCGTCAGACAGCTTCATTTCGATGCCAAACAAGTCCGCTGTTGGGATTTCTGAACATGTTTCAAGTTCTATTGTTTGCTTCGCAGGAAATATATGGTTCTTTCACTTCATCATGAAACTCCCAGGAAAATCCTTGCAAACTCACGTGATAGTGCGACGGCGACCTTATCCACACCGCCCATGCCGACCAGTTCTCCTTTAGCTTTTGGACCGAACACCTTAATGAAATCAAACTTATGAAAGATATTCTCCTTGCTGTGTGTACCAGTAGATGTAAAAATTTTTATCTCGCAACATTACGTCATTACGAACATCTGAACGCCATCCGTTTCCCCGCTACCTGCGCATTTGTTGATGACGTGCAGCATAAAAGTCTCGAAACACACCAAATAAGACCCACATTTTTAGTCTAGATTTTCAGCTTGAGGCTGAAGGGTCGCTGATAAAACGTGGCAGATACTAGACAAGGGCACGCAGAGAGTACGGTGGAACAAGACGACTAGGCTCCAACGGCTGAGAACGAGTCAGTTCGCACTATCGTAGACGCTCACTCGAAGCAACATTTCGCCTCACACGCCTCAGACTTAAAACACCGAGCAAACGTTCCGGGATAGGACTGTGCTGCAGATTCTTCGCCACTTTTCACCAGGACGGTTTTCGTTCTAGTAAATCTCGCGGCACTATTCAACTATTACTACCCCAGTTTTCCGAAAACAGGCCGGATCTTGATCGACGTTTCTCTACGGGGCTAGATTTGGCTGAAAGGTTGGATTCTAGGGAGGCAACTTCGGACCTCTTAACACGAACAATCCTTCCGCTTCAGCCTAAAACAGCTGCGTGCGCTGCGCAAATCCTCCGGCGCCCAAATACCCTAGCTCACCAAATCCGCTGTAAACTGTATACGGAGGTTATTTGACATCTTGATTACAAATACCGCATTCATCTTTGGCCGCTAGGCGCTGCGATGGAAATCGGTTGCGGATCATTTGCGCTCTGACAGGCTGCAGCCCTTAGCCTGATCGAACCACATATTTCCGCCCAAGGCTCAGCTTAGATAAGCTCTAAATGGAGTTGGCGCCACTTTATGCGTTGTTTCACCGATTATTGATAGAAAAGCCGGTGTGGCCCAAATAGGACGCCAGGACTGAAAAACTAATTCAGGCTATCCCGATGATCCGGACATAAAATAACCTTCTTATGCAAATTTAACGAATTCGGTTGGGCCATATCGTGAACAGGGACACGAATTACCTACTGTCGTGTCAAAGTTTCCGCAAAAAAATTTTTTTATTGATTTTTTGGGATGGTAATAGTTGGATAGTGCCAATCTCGCTTTCAGCTGACTCTCATATAAAGAACACATGAGCGGAAGTTCTATCCCTCAGCTATCCCTCAAGCCCGTGTACAATATTGGAAAAGGCTTTCCACTCTCCCAAAATTGAACTAGTGAGCTAAACAGGCGTGACAGGCGCTCACTGCCGCTACGCTACAGGTGCATGAATCATAGTGATAAAAGCAACTTCTAATTAACCAAACCTTGACGAGGAAGGTCCTTGCGGAGCCAGTCGAGGAAGCCTTCATGAATGCCGACGTCTTCTCTACAGAGTCGGTCTCGATGCTGGAGACAATTGATAAGGGGTCATGGAAACACAATGAAGAATTTGAACTGGACAGCTTCCTCCATGCCTCGCCAGCCAATTCACAATTTTCGACGGAAAATGGTTTTTTTTTTTTTACTCTCCCATTATATCATAGGAAGCTGATTCATGCAAGGCGATTTCGTTTCCTTAGGCAGGATTTTATTGGGAGGTTTTCAGAATCTCATCGCTTTCTTTATCGCAGGGGAGTGACTACGATAAGGAAGGATAAGTGCCTGAAGGTGGAGGAGCAAATCGGGACGGGCCTAAAGAGGACAACGCTGCAGTTTCTAAACATCGAACCAAATATGATTATTTCTCTTTCGATGCTGAGGCCCTCACGCTTCTCTCGAAATTTTGATTTTTTTCAAAAAATTGTTCCTAGGTAAAATCGGTTTCCGAAAGCAATGTCGATAATTTCAACAGAAAAGTCGAAGATTAGTCAAAAAGTCTTATAGTTGATTTTGCATGAAAAGAACGAAATAGAAGTGAAAGTGTTGAGAGGGACGGAAACGGTCCAAAGGGAAGTGTCACGGTTCACAACGCATGCTCTGAAGATGAACCCTCGGACCTACTCCAATTCAGCCCACCTAAGTATCCCTAGCTCCGTTGACAAAAAAATCTATGGTTCACAGCTAGCTCTGCAGCTTAACTGTACAGGGGGGGCAAAAAAAGTCATTTCCGCGCCAAGTCACATCATGGAGCGAAAGTTTTTCGCAGCCCAGACAGAGGAAGTGGATATGAGTACCAGGGCGGAAGATACCCAAGATCTTCCTCTATAAGCAGGAGCCGGCTGCCGCCATTCACCTTCATGTACACCAAAATATGAAGTCATCTCCAGTCGCGGCCTGAGTGGAGAACGCCTTTGGAATTCACGTGGCCTCCAAACAGCTGCGGAACTTCTTGAATGGAATCACCCATGGATAGCTACCTGGAGACCAGTACTCTTGATCTGCAAGACCTCAAACATCTCGATCTGCAAGACCTCAACATCGAGCAGCTCCGGCAACGTCGCTACGGTCCAGGACATCATCTTCACCCCATTCACCAAGGCGCGGGTTGATGGTGTGGACCGGCCGTACCTGGAATGGGAAGACCGATATTTTCTTTGTAGACCCCGACTGAAGGTGAGCGCTGGCGGTTACATCAAGTAACTCGAGAAGGATATCCTCCCTACATGTGGTCGCCCGTACCTTCTTGGAGACCTTGTGCTGCTACAGGTTTGGGTGCCACCACATGGAATCGAAGGGTTTTGGAAAAACTCCCGCCTACTTCGAATGGAAGGGCGTTTCGTACCTGATGAAGATGTAATATTGAAATATGTCCCCTGACCTGAACCCACTCAATTACCTAGTTCGGGCGGAGCTCAACAGGGTGGTCTACAGTGGCGGAGAAATCAACGATCTCGCTCAACTCCGGTACCCACTCACTTTCGCGCGGCCGAATCTCTCGATGGCGCTCCTCCAGAAGGCTGTGGCGGAGTATCATTATAGTATTTAATGTGCTCTTTATATGGTAGTAAAAATGTCCGATAAAAATTTAATAAAGTGTAACTTATAGCGCCTTGAAAGTCATGGAGGCAAAATGACTTTTTTTTGCCCCCCCCCCTGTATACTCCGAATATGGCCTGAGTGGGTGGCGTATTCCGAAAAACCCTTGTCAATGCCAAAAGCTTTACCTTTCATCATTTACCACATTATTGGTTGTATTTTGGTTATTGTAAAAGGTTTATTTTTGGATTTTGGTATCCCCTCTAAGATTTTAGAATGAGATTCTTGCTTTTGCTTGAATTCGTGCGTAATAGGCCATTCCGTTGGGGTTGAGCCATTAGCCCCATGCGAGATATGAGTTTTGGGATATTTATGGTCGCATATGACGTCCAAACTGGAATCAAAGCCATTTCTCTAAAAGCATTCAAAACCATTGACGATGCGGAACACATAATAAAGAGAGGGGAGGTTCTTCTGACGTCAACGGAAATCCCTCATAGGATTTCGACAGAAATCCTTCATAGAATCATTGAATTTGATCTCAAGATGTCAGTAAACAATAAAGGCGCAGTTCAGCTTGGTATGAGCATTCCGCTGGTTCTCATCGACCACTGCTCGGATACCTGTAGATTCCTTGCAAAACTTTGCAGCAGCATGAGCTTCACTTTCCATTAGACAAGAGCTCACAGCTCTCACTATGGTGAGACGTTCAATTTACCATAACTAACAACAGAAACTAGCAAAAGTGCAAAATACGTATCCATCTCCCTACCAGAGTCAAGCATACGTCGCGGAATCCGCGACGGAGGAGTTGTATACGGCCCCTCGTGAGGGGGGGGGGGTCGTATTTGTAGGGATCAGCACTGAACGCAGCAGCGACGTAGTTTGTGCGTTCGGAAAGAGAGTCGCGTAAATGCCTCATTCTATGGAGGTTTTGATCAGCGCCTCTGTGCTGCATTTCGTATTCACTACATGAGGTGTACGGAAGGCTTACCGAGCTTTCTGGATGGAAATGTGGGCTTTACAAGGGAAAGACCCTCTTTCTGAAGCTGAAGCTGACATTCAAATAGAACCCAACGCCGTGTAGATCTACGTACTAGATTATGCCTTAACGAAGTTATGGCCTCTGGAAGGTGAAAAAACTCGCGTTTGACAAAAATTTCCCGCGTTTTTGTTGTGATTTTCCGCGACCAGCGAACTTTCGCTGTAAGTGAGCTACAGCGAAGCTGTAACACTCACTTAGAAAAGAAAACCTTCCAGTTTCCAACGCCATGTGGACCTCCATTCTAGGTTATACTTGAAGGAATTTATTTATATTGAAGGTGAAGAGCTCGCTTCCGCCCATATTCTCCCCGTTACTTTCTGGCCAGAGGCCGTAAGCGAAGCTGTAGTGTATTTCGTATAGAACCTGGCCATACAACTTGACTCGTGCTTAACCCCTGCGAAAAATTTTCTGAATGAAGTTATACCCTTTCAAAGTACTAAGTGAATGCAGCACGTATATTTGCCCTTACGCAGGATGCCTGATGGTACCATGGGGGAAGTGCTAGGGGAGAAGAGCTGCTAGGAAACCAGGAAGGGCTACAAGAGGGCTGATTGTGTAATCATGATAATCCGCTTCCTTTCCTATATAATACACCTGATTTGTACGTCCAGTCAGACCATTAGATTGCAGGAAT